CACGCACACACACACGCACGCACACACACAAACACACACACACACACACGCACGCACGCACGCACACACATACGCACGCACACACACACACCCACGCACGCACGCACACACACACACGCTCTCACACCCGCACACACCGCCGACACTCTCCAGGTGCCACGAGGTGCGCACGCCGCTCAACGGCTGCCTGGCCAGCGCTGAGATGCTGCTAGAGACCCCCCTGGCGGAGGAGCAGCGGGAGCTGGCCAAAACAATCCGCGTCAGCGGCTCCATCCTGTTGTCAACCGTGGGTGTTCATTTTGGGGGGCGGGGAGAGGGGGTGGCGCGGTCCTTTCGCGTGCGACCGCTGAGCAGCAGCGGCGTGCAGAGGGGGGCGCGCCGGCCCGCTGCCTAGCCCCTCTGCACGCGGTCGCGCGGTGGCGCCATGCGGCTGCCCTGAAACGGGACGTGGCGCCGCATGACATCACACGTCATGTCCAGCGTCCTGTGGCGTGATGCGCATGGTGCAGCGGCGCGTGTGCTGATCACAAGGCCTGGACGCTTTAATTGCTGTCCATCCCACACGACACTCCTCACACCCCCTCACCCCACCCCTCCTCAACTCCCATCACACGACCTCTTTCCCCCCCCCTCAAGGTCTCCAACTTCCTCGACTTCTTCAAGCTCGAGGCTGGCAAGCGCCTCGACACCGTGCGGTCCGAGGTTCTGCTGTCAGACCTCGTCGGCGACGTCCACTGCATCATAGAGGCCATGTGCGGCCGCGGCGGCGCCGTGGCGCTGCTCCCGCCGGACCTCTCAGCCGCGCCGGCCGCGCCCGTGCTCTGCGACGCCGACCGGCTGCGCGGCGTGCTGCTGAACCTGGCGACCAACGCGGCCAAGTTTACGCGCAGCGGCCACATCTGCCTGCGCGTCGGGGAGGTGCCCGCGGACGGGTACCCGGTGCCGCCGCCGGGATACGCCGGGATCACCATCCGGCCGTGCACGCCGCATGGGCAGCAGCGCGGAAGGTGGGCGGGGCCTGTGGGCGCGTTAAGGGCAGGTGGCGCCTTGGGGGCGGGCATGGGGGTCTGCTGTGCTGGTTGGTGTGCTTGCTTTGTGAACCTTGGGGAGAAAAGCCGTCGCTTGTCATTTGCAGTGAGAGTACAGCGCCAAGGGCGATGTTTGCTGCGGGAGTGGATCTGTGCATGCAGTTGCGGGAGACAGCGCTCTAGTGCGGGTGTGCATGTTCCCTGCTAGGGCACGATGACGTCACAATGACACCCCCCCACATACACACACACCAACACACACACCTTGGCCTCCCTACGCCCACAACCTCTCTGCACCACCTCCGCAGCGGCTCCGGCGCTGTCGCGGCAACGCAAGATGCGACAGCGGCGGCGGCCGCAGCGGCGGCGGCCAGCGTGGACGCCCTCGAATCTGCTGTCAACGATGCTGGCGGCAGCGGCGGCGCGCACCTCGACCCTCTGGTGGCTGGCGCCGCCCGCTGGCTGCGTGAGCGGCGGCGGCAGGGGCGCATGGTGCGGGAGTGCAGCTTCGACGCCGGCTTCAAGGAGGCGCAGCACGCGGCCGCGGCGGCGGCGGCGTCGCCCGCGGCGCGGCGGCGCGGCAGCACGGGCG